ATATATATACATGTCTAAAAATCAGGAGGTCCATGTTGGTGCTTACTGTTGTGTGACCCTGGGATGAACCACAGGCAGCCGTTGTTAACCGTGGCATCCTCCAGGGCGATCCAGAAGCCCAGAACTCGGCCCAGAGGCTCGGTGTGAAGAAAGGTGGCATCCTGGTGTGGTGTCACTATGAAACACGCAAGACTTTACTTTAAACAAGGAGTGTCAAACTCAGTTACACAAGGGGGGCTTAAATTCAAACCTTGGTACAAACCAAGCACCAATCTCTGTCATTATTCTAGAAATTATTACAGAAATACAAACTGAGTTTTTCTAAATTATAGAATATGTTGCATTTAGAACCTAGGCCTACATGAGCAAACAAATAAAGAAAAAGATTCACTTTAGAAAGACACATCATTAGCATTCATTTCTTATGCCTTACTCTCTACTAACAACTTATTTTATTTCATAGATACATTTGATCACAATCCATCAAATTAGTAGAAAATTTATTGAACTCTCACTAAAAATTTAATTATATGACTTTAAAATAAGAACAAAAAAATAAAATAAAATAAAAAAGATAATTAAAGTTGATTCACTTTTGCCTTTTCCACACAAAATCAAAGATAACTTCACTTTCTTGGCTTGAAAGTTGGTCATCTGCCATGAGAAGAATGCACTAAATCCAGAGACAAAAAGACTAAAAATATTTTACAATTTAAGTGTTACTTTGGGGCCAGAAAAAAGGTTAAAGAGCCAAAATATTTGGCCTGTGGGCCTTGAGTTTGTCACGTGCTTTAATAGATTTCCTGATTTACCTCAAAAGGTTTTGAGAAACTGGATTCAGCACTGACTCATAGAACATAACTATAATTAGTTTCCAAACATAATATCCTAATTAGGTGAAATTAAGTCTACTTCTGTGTTTTTATACCAACTTCGTAAAAATTTGAAATATGAAAACTGCAAACAAATAGATTCAGCTGAAATTGATTGGTTTTACCTTCTCCTCCCAGTCTTGGTTGCTATAAAAAAAGGGTGACATAACTTCTTATTTGAATGTTTTATAATTACACTGAGATAAATTTAGGATAAATAAAGATTTTACCTTAAAGATGTACATGCTTTGCAATATGACAGGATTAACCAGGCCTAGCTTCTTGGCTATGCCCTGGAGAATTAAAAAAAAAATTACAAGTTAATTATTCTGGGACTTACTTTATCACTTACTGAATCTGGCAGAACTCACCTGAACTTTGGTTGAATGAGTAACTTTCTTATATAACGGCTCAAGTTCATGTAACGCTAAAAGAAGAGAAAACTATGTCCTTTTGAAAGCTCTTTGTTTAGAGTGTGAAAGGAAAGAAAAAGAAAAAAACAGTCAGGATTTCTCACCGTGTCCGACTTTATTGAGAGAGCGCTGCTTCGGTACGATAAATTCTCCTGCAGGTCCAGATGTGCATCAGTCAGCAGGAAATGATTGACAGGCCACAGAAAATTACACAAGAGCTCACCTTTGTCATCAAAAACATCCTTCTCGAAGAAAAAGCGGATCTTATCTCCACTCGTGATGAAATAATCAGCATTCCCCTGCAGGACAGAACGTTAACACGGATCAGCTGATGCTCCAAACAAACACTGCGCTGTTGACACAAGAGTTCAAAACCAATCGGACAGAGGGGACACGTGGGGTCAAAGGAAATTGTGGTTTAGACTACCTTTCGGCAATCGTACCTGCATCTTTCAGCCGCAATACGGAAACATAAAACAAAACATTACGATAGTCTCATCAGTGACAAACTCGTCCCGTGCCGTTCCACTCGTCGGGGTCACCTGTTCTTTGAGCTGCTCATCGTGGTAGGTGGAGAAAGTGGTGCGGCAGTGCTCGGGGACGTCCATCCTGTCCACGACCTCGGTCATCCTCTGCCTCAGCTCATCACACTCCTGGGGGGTCAGCAGCCCGTCCAGAACCACGTACCCGTCTTCCCTGTACTAAAATAATAATAATAACAATAACAATAAATAATGCAGAGCTGGTGAAAAGTGAAACACTGTCACAGTTCTTTTGGACGGGTGGAAACCAGAGAGACCGGGGACAGTTGCAACACTTTTTTTTGCATTTGACTCCGTTACTCAGAGATGGTTTGAATTAGACAAACCCATTTACAGATGATTAAAGCAGGTACATTCTTCACAAGTTGCATTTGAAAATGAAAAGTCAGATGTTGCAACTGACCCCGAGGCCAAAGACAGTTGCGACATTGTTTGAGGGTGGTTGAAACATATTATTAAAACAATATATTTCACTGTAAGTAAAAGTTTTATTATTTTTATATTTATGTTATTGCTAAATTTAAAAAAACGAAGTTATAATGATATTACAGTGTTATTAATTTATTCTTATTGATCAAATGACAAATATAGATTTGACTTGATGAATAGACCTTATATACAGATGACAAAGACTCTAATTGACATAAAATACAGTTGGCTTTTAGAGACAAGGATAACAGAACAATTTGTGAGGCAACTAACTTTTGTTTTGCCTATTGTCACTGTATGTCTACATTATGCAAAATTTACATTGAAAGAAACAGGGATTTTAAAACCATTGTTGAAAAAAATAACTGCAGAAAATACATCTTAAACACTTTTATGTTTTAAACTATAAAATTGTCATGAATACCCAATACCTTTTAAAGTGTAAACTTAATTTCAACATCTTAATATCATCTGTTTGTGCTCTGTTTTTATATGGATTTTTCGTATTCCTGTCAGCCATGATAAAACCTCATGTGTTAGCTAAATAAGCTGATCTGGATACATGTTAACTCTATTAGTAAAAAGTCAACATATCACTTGTTTAAACCATATAAGTTTGAGCTGGATCACAAAAACAGTGACAACAGTATAACAAAAATAAAGCTGGGCAAAATAAATACTTTGGTACCTCAAAAACAGTTTTTTAAATAAATCCTGGAGCAGTTTTTGAATCTGCTTACTTTTTCTCTGCAAGGTGGGGCATCTAACTGAGCATGTACAGTGTGAGTGTCATCACTCTAGCTTGTTTCTGTTTGGAGAAAAATGACGTGTTGCAACCGTCCCTTGTTGCTACTGTCCCCGGTCTCCCCTACAGCTCAGGGACCTGAACCCTTCAGCTGTCCCTGTGTCCAAATGACCCATGTGGCCTCAGTTTGCCTCCATCTATTTTTGGGAAGTGGTGGAGAAGAGGTTAGAAAAGGTTGCAGGTTCAGATCTGCCTCCACCCTCATTTACCCCACTATGGGCCCTTGAGCAAGGCCTCTCTGCTCACATGTGCAATGGGGAAAAACGCAGGGAACTAATAGAGTACATTAAATTAAAACTGTGGCAGCTGTGAAAGAGCTGGCTCAGAATCTGTTTAGGTGATCCAAATGATCAGGACCCCCAGAAAAACAGCCATCGTTTCCATCATTTTGTGGAAAATCTCACATTGACAAAACATTTGTAGGTAAACCAGGAACACTTCAAATACTTTAAAAAAAATAAATTTTCACACCCAACAATGCCAGCTACTTTGTTTATAAATTCGTTTTGATTTTGATCATTAGTTTGCTATCAAATGATTGATTTATGTAAAATGTAATTACTGTCAGATCATCGAAAATTACTCTTAAAAAGTTCAATTAGAAAGGTATTTTTAGTGGTTAATGCAATCAGTTAAAGTGAAAAGAACCAACTTGAACAGAACAAAGTTGCCTTGAATACAGTGAAAACCGTTATGTAACCATTTGAGGTTATTTATGTCTTTTCAAGCATTCAGCTGACTTTATTACATAGGAGCTCTTTTATTTATAATAGTGAAAAAATGCCCCTAAAGTCAAATATTTTGAAAATTAAAGAAAACTTTGGTTTCTGAGGCCACTTGTGGCTGCAGAATCCTTATGTAATAAGGTAGACATGTGCGATGCAACTTTTCACACAAACCCATCAATATAGAACCAATAAATCATTTTCATTACATAATCTTTTATTTTAAGGCACCGGTATCTTCCTTACCTTCTGCACATCCCGATCTGTCATAAGATCCATGCTGGTCTTACTTGAAGCAGATCTTGATGCGACATGAGATGTTTCTCATCCGGGTAACCTTTAGAACATAATGTAATAGGATTTGGAGCTTTTAACTCTTTCATGTAACATGTGAGCGTTAAACCGCTGTAGTGACACAGAATGACCGCTGGGCGTCGCTGTTACACGTGAGGAAAAAAGAGCTTCATCAGCAGCGCCATCGTGTGGCCAGTTTGATCACTTACACACAGAAAAATACATTCGTGTTTTTCTTCTATTTTTTATTGTAAATCGTTAGTCTTTAAATGTTGTATACAAATGTAATAATCTAATAATATTAAATACAGCTAATATTTAAATTTCTAAACACTACAATAATTTAGCGTTTGCAAAGTTTATCAACTGCATGTAAAGGTAAAAATAGTAGCTAAAATAGCAAAAAGACAGATATAAGTAGCAAAATGATAGCTAAAAAATGAAAGTAGCAAGAGGCTAACAAAAAGTCAAAAGTAGAAAATGTAGAATGGTAGCTAAAAACTGAAAATACCAAAATAAGACAAATAAAGATGATTTCTAAGAAAACAATGTTTTTATGTTTATATTTAAAACCGGATTTAGCAATCAACCTTTAACGTAAACTTCCAGATTATTAAAAAAAACAGCAGTTAATTTGTATCTCTCAGATTTAAAAATTGCACTGCATGCACAAATGATTATATATCGGCTGAACTTCCCATAAGTACTTTTATTGCAACAAAACAACTGGAAATGCAGCTTAAAGATCACATTCGTTAAAATAAAAATCCAGATTTTGCTTCAATTAGTTTCTGTGAATTAGAAACAAGCTTGAGTTGAGCATTTTCTGATTTGCACTATAAATAACAAGGGTTTGGAAATCCAAGAATTTTATACAATTTTGTACACACAGTCATCCTGTCAGGACAGATAGTTTGTTACAATGTCCAACATGGTAAGATAAGAATTGACTGTTCCTAAAGATGAGGCACCACCACGTCTCTGTGAAATGTAGATAATACAGAGGGGAAAAAAAACATCATTTGTTGGAACAGATAATTTCAATGAAATAAGTTCTGTTCCTGCTCCACTTGGGTGTAAACTGTGATGTGTTAAATGCAGTGACACAGTGATGATAATACACTTTTACAATAGAACAATTAACAGCAAATGAGCCACTTCAGGGATGAGTTCACCGACTGCGTGGCACAAATAATGGACACCAGGCATGAATAATGAAAACTCTCGAGTCAGTAGTAGCAGAAGTCTCTCAGCCTCTCCCAGTGGATATGAATCATTTCTCAGCGGTTTCTCTTTGAAAGAGGAACTAGGCCAGATGAAAAATTAACACACTCTGTGGCAAGATTTAGTGTTAAGTGGTAATTTTATTATCATGTGTCAGAATGGTACAAAAAAGTAGGATCTGAACATTTGGAAACCAGCATTCCAACATTACAGAGCCGATGTTTATTTAATTGGCAAAATAAAAAACAAAGTGTTAATAAAGGCCTTGTCCATTTGGGGATAAGTTCCAGTATGGCTGTTCTGGACACCGGCTCAACAAACCCGAGCTTTAAGACATTTTTTAAAAAAGAATCGTTGTTTCCAGAACTCCTGATCTACAGGCATCAGAATACATAAAGTTACCATACACAAGAAATACAATCATTTATTAAAAAATAAAAATAAATAAAAACATTAATATTTTACAAGAAAATAAATGTAATCATGACAGTTTAGCAATAAGTTATGCTCAGAAATGATTTATGAATACTGACAGTTTGGATAATTAAAACAAAATGACTGTCATAAAAGTAAAATCACACACATTGTCAGACATTAATGAATGTATACGGTTACACACGATGCCTGCAATGAAGGGTGAGCTCACTTCCAGTTACAGTAAGATTGTCGAGTCATTCCGTTCGAGCACAGGAGCCGATCTGCTCTGAAGGATTCAAACTTCAAAGTTCTGTCCAAGAAAAACGACTTAAAGCATACAAACAGGATCCAATCATTTGATCTTTTTGTAATTAAATATAAGGCAGATGCTATAATTTGTTATTTTAGCACATTTGCACTACAATAAAGCTTTCAGTGTGTTTATATAAGAAAAAATGGCAGCTGCTGATGTGACATAAATGAAGTGCTCACGTTTCAGAAAGTCACGGAAACTTCCTCATTTTGGTTTTTGAAGAGTTTAAATCAGTTCTTTGACCTGATTCATCACAGCTGACAGGAAAGGGAGGGGGCCAGGCTGAAAGTGAAGTGACTCAGTGGAAAATGAGAAAGAGGGGACAACTGTTTTTAGCTGACTTGTAGCTTTGTACGTCATCCTCTGCCAGATGCTCAAAGTATTCTGAGACCAGATTACAAATAAGTTACACGAAAGACAGCAAATATTAATCTTAATATTAACTTTGACCCCAAATGCTCAAAGACCAAAAATTTACTCAGACGTCAGTCAAATTTTCTTTAAAAAAAAAAAAGACAAAAGAAAATCTAAACATTTTGAGACATTTCAAACCTTAAAGACATCATGTAAAGATAGAAAAAAAGACTAAATAACCAGTTCTGACACTTTGCGGTACAGGAGAAAGGTTTGAAGGCATCTGCACTGCACCACCACAGTGATCAATGTCAGAATATCAAGTTACTTCAGAGTGACAGAGAACATCTCCTGTGGGCCGACTCTGAGCCAGCTGCACCACAATGGACACATTTCTAAAGCTTGTATTAGTACAGAAAGTACGTATCTGTACGGCAGCCAACAGAACACTTTTTGTTGTATATTTTGTAAAACATGTTTACTTTGCATAAAATAAATCTAATATAAACAAAATTATTCAAATGGGTTTGTCATACACCTGCAGGAAAGTACTGTCATTTGTTTTGGCTCTGACCTTTGACCCAGACTCTAAAATGGTATTCTAGTTTAATAAAATAAATAAAATAAAATAAAACCACTGAAGCTCTCGTTTCTGAGCTGTGACCTCTGAAACAAAACACCCAGCTGAATCTTAGTGAAACTGCCTTGAAATCTTTTAAAGAAAGTGTGTAAAATTACTGACATGAACGTTTCCAGCTTACTTCATTTCACAATTACTTATATTTCTAAATTCTTAAAATGAAGCAGTGATAGTTACATGTACATCTTCCTGCACTGATTTATTTTTTTCATTAATGCCACAATATGCACATATAAAAGTATTCAACAACAAAAAGGACTGTGGAGGACTTAGGACTGCTTATTATTGACATCTTGGTTGTTTATTTTAAAAATCATTTTGAAATATTGATAAAAGTTGCAGTTTTTTAGGAGTTATTGTTGAAGTTTACTTATTACTGCTTTACAAATTAAAGGTTTAAAGTAACTGAATTACAATACAGTTTACCCTCTGTAAAAACACATTTCCTGTGCCATGCTATTTCCCATTTATGTCTATGTTTAAGCTAAACAAGTCAAAAATATTTCAGTATTACCTTGCTGAAATAATGGAAACTTGTAGACCACAGCGTGGATAAAATCCAGCAGAGTCTGGATTGAGTTACAAACGAACCTCCAGATGTCGCTAATTGTTACACGTTGTAGCTTTTAAAAGAGACTGAACTGCAGGAAATCAGCCGGTAAGAATAAAAGCACATGACTCGCATTAAACATTTCAGCTCTACACTTTACAGCTCGAGAGAAAAATACCACTGTTTGTGATCATTAAACGGGTATCGCTTGTAAAAGCTGAGGCCATGTCAGTAGAGAGAAATTTCTGGCAGGAGTAAATGCAGCAGATTTACTCCAAATGATGCTAATAAACCCCAGGTCTTTACAAGAAGCGTTTAAAGCAGACATAACATGTTGCATTCATTTGGAGCACGCACGGTGGATGTAACGTGCTCCACAAAGAAATGCTTCTCCAGTGGAGGCTGGTCAGAACCAGTTCCCTTCCACTCTGTAATTTCCTGTTTGTCCTCATGTGCCTCGTAAATGAATACATCCATTGGCGACAAATGTCCGCTCTTTCACCAAGTAAAGGCAGTCTGATGAACAAACCAGAGAAACAGCACTAGTACTAAAAGGTCCATATCAAAGAAATCCTTTTGCAAAAACTAATAGAAGTAACTTAATTCAGTTTTTTTCTTTTATACTGTCTGAATGATTTACTTTAGTCAAGCTTGATTAAATTATCTCTCATTGTTTGGGAACTCTATCCGACCTAAAACAACAAAGGTTTAGTCTGATTTAATGTCAGAAAATGAGGAAAAAAATATTTAAAAGCCTTCTGTATCTGGGTTTACCTGTTTGTATTAATTAGGAAAAGAAAACTTTGAACTGTGACTTTCTTCAATGTTCTGTGGATTTATAAAAAGGACAGCTATTTTTATCTGAGCAGTGTGTAGTTAAACCTTACACTGAAACAAAATACATACAGTAAGCTCTGAAGAAAAAAAAAGGCCACTTACGATACCAAGCTACAGATATTTGCTCTGGAGTCAAAATAAATGTTCGATAAGTGGTTTGTTACATGCTGAAAATATATGTCAAGTCCAAACATGCTACAAATGTCTGTTAATATATAAAAAAAATAAATCAAAAATAAATTCTTACACAGCCTATTAAGACACACTTGTAATGACACCTTAAGCCCTGTAAAATAAGATCATGCTTAAGTAAACATGTTGTCTGGTGATGCAAAAACAAAGAGCCAATAAGAGATGGTGGTCTAAATCACAGCTCCCAGTGCAGGTAACAGTTTACCACACAGGCCGATGGTAAATTTAACTGCAGGGTAGTTTTGCGTTACACAGCAAAGTTTGTTATTACCCTTAGATTCCTACAGCCTACAGTGTTAAGGCTAAAGATAAACAATAAAATAAAATAAAAAATGCCTTTAAGTAGGTCGAGCATAAAGAAGCGCCCGAAGACAAGAACACTGCCAAATCTTCATGCCTGAATAGACTGGCTTTGAATTACATCATAATTTGTTAATATGTGTCAATAGAGTGAGCCACACTGCACAGCAACTGTAAATGTCAAACTTCTCTAAAAGTCCCAAGGCCAGAGGAGGGGCAGGCAAACGCTGCGTAGAGCATGTTGAGAATGTGCTGTGCTCAGTAAAACGATAATCGGTAGCACTTTTAGCTCACTGAGGCCGAGTCGTGCAAAGTTGTCTCAGTCGAAAGGTAAAAGTTTGCTTTAGGGTCCTAGTGCGGCATGCATAGTCAACATCAACTGCCAGCATCCCTGCAACTTTATAGTTGGGATGAAACAAAACTAACAAAAAACATTGTTGAATCAACTCTGATCATCCAGCTTGATTATAAAATTTGTTTTCGAGTAGCAAATGTCACATCCAACATGGTATATCAGAAGGCCGTTGACATCCTTACTTTTATTGGTTCTGCCAGGCTGTCAAACAGTCGACATGTCGTCACTTTTCTCTGCCTGTGTGGTCAACACTGCTGCATTTCTCTCAAGCTCCATCTGGTTTTCATAAAACCTCTTTTTATTCATCTGCAGTGGTTTGGCTCAAGCCTGCTCCTTGTCAGCCCTCCAGAGCTGCTCCTTGACTTCTGTTGGCAGCGTGTTGAACAGGTCTTCCTCCACCACCAGGCCGCTCCGCTTCAACAGCCTGCAGTCGCCGAGCTCCACCGGGAGGCACTCCAGACGGTTCCCTCTCAGCTCCAGCTGGGTCAGCCCGGTGAGTTCTCCAAAGCGCGATGGCAGTGTCTGCAAGCAGTTGTTCCCCAGATTCAGAGTGCGGAGTTTCTTGCACTGGAACAGCTCCGGGGGTAAAGTCTCAATCTGAAGCAAAGAGCATAAAAGACAGGAAAAATAAGAGTGCACCAGTCAATAGAAAGGCTGACGAGACATCAAAACTAAATTAGATAGTTCAAAATACAGCCAACCTCCGTTGTGTTTGGATTCTGTTCGCTATAAGAACTGGATTTTATAAAAAACAAAAACCAAGTCTCTCATACATCCACAGAAATCATACATGAAGAAATTCCAAAATGAACGAAGTATTGACAATAACTGATAACGTGCCTTAAAAGAACACATACACAAAAACACCAAACATCAGAACAGTCGAGTTATTTGTGGCAGCTCACAAACCTGCTGGAGGCTATTTTCAGCAAACAGCCACATAGTAAAACAGAAGTAATAGTAGCCTTTACTAAAAGCACATGGTGATGTTTAGATGCTTGTGAGCTCAAGGAAGTGTTTCAAAAAAGTTCAGTTTTTATTCAAGTAATCCTTTGGAACAAAGATAAATACCTTAAAGGCAATTTTTATCGTTAGACTTCAAAGTTTTGGGATTTGGGGTGTTTTTAAGCAAAATACGATTGTAAAACACACACAAAAAAGTATAAAATACTTTAACTCTTATCAAATGAGAAAGTCATTTGAATTAATTAACTAGAACTGATAAAGCAAAAAATTTACTTAAACATAAATTAAGTTCCACTTACCCTGTTTGCCGTCACAGCGAAGTACTGCAGGTTTTGGAGGAAGCCCACATCAGGGTGGATGCTTGTCAGATTGTTGTGACTCAGGTCTAAGAAGCGTAACTTGCGGCAGAAGAAAAGCTGGCTGGGGATCTTCTCGATCTTATTTCTGTTCAGGTACAGCCTCTCCAGGTTGGTCAGCGTCCCAATCTGAATGGGGATATAGGCGATCTGGTTGTACCAGAGCTTCAGGCACACGAGGCGGTGTAGGTGCTGAAAGCTGATGATCTCCTCTATCGTCTTCAGGTTGTTGTCTTTCAGGTCAATCTCCTGCAGGTTGTGCAAACTGAAGATGGAGTGTGGAATGCGTTCGAGGTCGCAGCGAACAAGCTCGAGCTCCGTCAGGTTGACCATCTTCTTAAGGCTGTTCAAGACCATCAGCTTGGTGCCCTCGTTGTTGATGGAAAGCTTCTGAAGGTGCACGCCCACGTCAGTCACCACCTGCGGCAGCTTGGTCAGGTTGCTTTTTAGACGCAACACTTTGAGACTTTTGAGCTCCCTGAGCCCGTCAATGACAATGAAACGATTGTTCTCAGCGCTCAGGTTCCCGGTTAGGTGAAGTTCACTGAGGTTCTTCAGGCTGTAGATCCACAGAGGGATCTCCTTGATATCAGTGAACTTGATGTGGAGCGACTTCAGGTTTTCTCTCAGGAAAGCCAGAGCTGGAGCCTCAATTTTAGCTGGTGTGTGGTAGAGCCACATCTCTTTCAGATTGGAAAGCTGAGCGATGATGGGGGGGATAGTGACGTCTGGAATAAGCTCCAGCTTGAGCACCTCTAGCTCAACGAGATCGAATACTGTATCCGGGATTCCACTGAGCATGAAAAGGTGAAGCTCCAGTTTCTCCTGGGAGTTCTTGGTGATCCGCTGCCTCAGCTTTTCCAGTGTCCACTCGTTGTTTAGGTTCAGCTGCCTCAGCTTGTTTTCGCTGACCTCAGACAGAAACACAGCAAAGCGCTTCGAGTAGAGAGGGTCATACTGGTCTATCATGTGTAGCATGAAGGCAAAATCATTCTTCACGTCGGGAATGTCGCTGTAACTGCTTTCCTCGCGGATCGACTCAAAGGAGTATCGTTTGAGTGAGCGTCTGAGCATCCAGCAAAGGGTGTACATGCAGATCAGACCATAAACTACAACCAGACTGATGTAAAAACAGGCTAAAATCTTGAACAGAGTTGCTAATGGGTGAGCACAAAGAAACATGCTGTATCCTGTTAGCGTCTCAATATTCACTGGGCACACTACGCGGAATGTGATACAACCTACATAATAGCCTGTGTAGCTAATAATCAGTATAAACTTGATAACTTTAATAATGGTCTGTCGTACGTAAAGACGGTAAACTATATCACCTTCTTCAACATGGATTCTAAACTTCTTCACCTTCTCAAAAAGTGCTTTGGCCTGCTCCCCTTCCTTCTTATCTAAAACCCCAGTTTCAGAGCGGTCCACAATTCCCTGTTCGATCCTGGACTTTGTTCGCTGAAGCATGGGAACGCTAGCCTCAACATCCTCGCTCACACTTGAGGTCTTCTTGTCCATGGAACCATTCATTTTCCCCACTGGTTTAGGGTCACTCTCCTCCACTACAGTCTCAGACAAAGCTCTTGTTGTCCACGGTGAGTCGAAGCACTTGAGTAGGATAGAGACAAAGTGCTCCAGTTTGGAGCTTGTATGTGGGAATTTGAACCAGAAGTTGCTGCAGGCCAAGAAGATGAGGGTGTGGAGTAGCACCAGATAGGGGAAATATTTAGCAAACCAGTGCAGTTTGTTCTCATAGCAGACAGCATCTACGTAGTTATACTGGTGTCGGTCGAGGTCATACTGAATGCCTTTGGGTTCGCGTGGATAAGTGGGGGTTATGTTTGAGACAGGCATAGACTGGCATTCGTTTTTGGCAACCCACTTGCAAGGCAGGCAGATCATCTTGTCCTGTGTGACCTGCAGCGTTCCACCGAACACTGCAATCATCAGCATGATGATCGAGAGGTAATCTGTGAATACGTCCCACCATGGCTTCAGGATTCGGTATGCTGGCTGGGTGTCAGCAAAGTACCGGAGCTCTGTGATGGGAATCATGATGGTTTATCTAGAAAAAAAGGCAGAAACAAAAGAGTACCACCATAAGACTTGAAAAGACAAAACTTTATGTTGGTTAGCACGTGTAGCATGAGTGAGTGTCTTACATTGGGAATGCCCTCAACTGTCACTTCATCAAAAGCTCCTATGGGTTATATCAGCCAAGACTAGCTGGAAACAAGTCTCATTGTCAAGGAGGACCAGGTCCCTCCACCTATGTAGGGTTGTTGATACATGGACAGTTTATTCTAGATTTGGGTGTAATACTGGTTCATAACAAAAACCGGTTTTAATTGTTAAATACCGGCATACCAGTTTATTAGCCTGAAAACGTTCAAAATGTTTTGTCACACCTGCCATTAAACTGTTCCCCCGGAAAACTTGGGGGGTAGCAGTGTGGTTTAATGAAGTGGTAGCAGAATGCTACATTGCTAATGCTAGATCCTATCCACTTATTCCATTGTCACAATCTCCATTGGCACTAGCTTTAAAAAAGCAAATGCTTAGCCTGGAGGTGGGGCAGGTAAGGTCTGGCAGCACACCAGGGCTGAAAACTGCCCATGAAGAACCTAAACCTGCAGGCTCAGCAGTGGTTTCCAATCCTGGTCCTCAAGTACCCCCACCCAGCATGTTTTACTTGTTTCCCTGCTATTCAGCAGAAGATTGTTCTTCAGAAGATTGTTAATCACTCATTCGTCCAAACTAGGTGTGTCAAATCAGGGAAACATCTAAACATGCAGGAAAGGAGTTCTTGAGGACCAGGGTTGAGAATCACTGCTTTAATTCATGTTATCTGATTTATTAAATGGCAAAAAATCATTGGCTTCCAGAGGCAATACTAAAAAAACATTAAAACTGAGTCAATATTATATTTTGAAAATGTCTCATCAAGCTCAGAGAAGCTCTTGAAGTGTTGGTCAACATTTAAAGCAGTGATTTTTAGATGTTTCCCTGATTTGGACACACCTGGTTTGAATGACTGAGTGATCAACAACCTTCTGAAGACCTACTAAATAGCAGGGAAACAAGTATAACATGCTGGATAGGGGTACTTGAAGACCAGGATTGGCAACCACTGCACTAGAGGCTGCAGTCTTTTTGAACTATATGCTAAGGCAATCGGACCAGTGATCCAGTAGGAAAACCACTGTTTTGACACCAGCCTCCCAGAATGTATCTTACCTCAGGAAATTTTAACCTTACTGGACACTGTGAAAGCCACACTTTTTACAACGTACAAAGAAACTCTGCTGTAAGCAAATCCAAAATATAAAAAAGCTAAGAAGAAGAAGATAGTCTCAAATGGCAAATGGTAAATGGACTGAACTTAGAGAGCGTTTGATCAAGTCCCTCCGTACCCCAAAGCGCTTTACACTTACAGACATTCACCCATTCACACTCACATTCACACACTGATGATGGTAAGCTACATTGTAGCCACAGCTGCCCTGGGGCACACTGACAGAGGCGGGGCTGCTATGCGCCGGCGCTAACGGACCACCATCAGTAGGCAAGGCGGGTGAACTGTCTTGCTCAAGGACACAACAACTGAAATGGCTGGACAGGGGATCGAACCAGCGAAAGAATGGCAGTTCCAGAATGACTCCCATAACCACTCCGCCACAGTCGCCCTATCAACGTTACTTGAAACACTCGGACTGTATTTAAGGTGAAAGCAGACTAAGTCTGGCAGTTCAACTGCTGTTCAAAATACTGCAGTAACCCCAATGTGGAAAAAAAACAAAGAACATGTTATTTTCTGTATCCATGTACAAAGAATACTCGGAATGAACGAAATCTTCTCTGAAACGATGTTTAGCTCCCAAACTCCTGGTCCAACACTTCAACACCAGATTAGTTTTGTCAAAAGAATCATTTTCACTGATAAATCAATGAACCAAGTTAACAAGATTGCTGAAGTGAAATGGGGTCAATTAAACTATGACTTCAAATCTTTCTTAGAAACATAGAAGTGAAACTTGTAAAATTGCTGACAGGCTTTAAAACGATATTTTTCAGCCATTAGTTTATGCTTCAGCACATCAGTAAAGTCACAACTAGGCCTCACAAAGTAAATTTTAAAAGTTAGTTATATGAAAAAAATGTTTAAAACTATAAAATCTGGAGCTTGTTTAGTATAATGTATAGCTTTTAACTTTTATATTTTAGTCCAAAAAGAAGAAACCCAATAACACTTGTTACAAAAAAAAAATTAATAAATAAATAAAATAAAATAATAATAAAAAAAACCTGCTGGCACTAGATTTAAGACAAATTAGTAAATCTTAAACTGTTTTCCCCTGTTTATTTCAATTTAAACTCCACTTAAAAGGCTGGAAAAAAACAGATGAGCAGTAATTACCGGTACATAAAGTATTTTTCCTTAACCAGTTTAAACCGGAACAGAAGCGCACAACGGACCTCCTCTGTTGGATCTCACTTCAAGATACAGAGACCCAAGCAGCTGCTAAAATAACCTTTAGAATTAAACAAATACAGGCAATCTTTGCCATATACAGTCAGTACAATAGACATGTGTAGGTTACAGTCATACTAAAGCAAAGCTTTGGTCATAACCCACATTTATCCACTTTTCTTTTGCCAAGCAAAAATTGTCAGACTCAGACTTGAATAAACATGCTCTGTAATTCAAGCCCATCACAGGAATGCACTGATAACTTCAAGTCAACTAAAGAGGTCTTGTACCCAAAATAATAATACAGTAAATTTATGACATTATAGTCACTGGTACTTAGTGAGGTAAAAAGGATTTATACTGTATTATACATTTTATGCTTTATTCAAATCTGTCCAGTGGTTCACAAAATATTTAACAGACCAACAAAGATGACTAATAGTTGATGACAAAATTCTATACAAAAATCTGATAGCACTCAATGTGTGTTGGAAAACAGTCTCAGCTACTACCACAGCCAGTTTTAGCATTAAACCTGTAAAGTTGACCAAGATATAGACATTTGTGTTTTCTTAGGTATATTGAATGTGGCTGCCATCTTACATGTAGCTGTCTCCAAAGGCTTTAACAGTGTTAGATGTACTAATAGATACTTCCTGTGAGTTTTAGTAAAATGTGTACGTATGTTCATTTCACAAATTGGCAACAGAGAGGCACATGAAAACAGACACGGGCAAACATTATCATCCTCTTTGCCTTTTAGCAGCAGGCTACATTCAAGACAAAAACTAGTCTGAGAACCTTTTTCATTTTCCTTGTTCATTGTCCTTAGTTCAACAATTAAAGCAGATTCAAAAGAGAAGGTCAAAATTACCGTATTATGCAATAACTGCTACTGAATTCCAGTTTGTAGCTATAGTCCAGTATTTCTCCTAAATATGTTTTTAAAACAAAGCAGGCTTTGTGCAGGTGATCTTTGTCGATGAGGCTTGGCAACACAGGAAGTGTTCATGGGACTCAGAATATTAGAGTCAACTATCAATTTCACTCAAGTAGACTGGCGTCTCTCAGGAAAAATATCTTAAAGTTTTCTTGAAGTTAAGCTTTATTATTGAAATTTGATCGTCACTTCCTGACATACTGAATAAGTAATGACAGAAGAGGGGAGGGAAAAAAAACCCTTTTCAGGCAAACTTTAGGACTCTTGGGGAATGTTGAAAAGTCTTTTAATGTCATAACCCGATTTTGTTTTTGTGCTTTTCCACCTGTGTCGGTGTTGAACTGAAATCTACCCCACTACAATGACCATGCAGGAACAGTTTTAAAACTACATGGACAAGATTAAGTGGTTTGAAAACAGATTAATAGGTTTAAAGATGGATGAATGCCAGTCCAGACAATTACAGCAGGCCTAAAATAATGTAAAGTACAGCTGTTATAGATTTCCCTGCAACAACTTCATAAATTTTATTTTAAGTGCTTGGAGACACCCAAAGGACCTGAAAGCATCACGTGTTTACTGACTCTTTCTTGATCCACATCTACAGAGTGGAAAAGAAAATACAGCTCAGGGTGATGGTAGAAGGAAGTTTATTTTTTTATGTTGTTGTTGTTGTTGTTGTTGTTCTTTAGTATTCAAAGCATTCAAACTACGGTCAGACATGTTTTACCTGTGGTTAAACTGGATATTCAAAACTGGATTTGAAAGGAAATTAAAAAGGCTTCTTTAAATTGAGGCAGCTTTTTAAGCCTGAAAAAGACTGCAGGTTGCCTTGAACAACCCAAGAATAAGAGATTTTCTTTTGACATAACAAAAAAATTGGACACAAAAAACTTTATTATCAAAACACAAGTTTTTGATTACTAAACCATTATCACAAATTTAAAACACAGCCTATTATCATCTCCTGCCACCAAAATGTGCAGAATGTAATGCACATCCACAACTGATTAGCTTTTTTTGAGTCAGCTAATGAACATAAGCAAACAAAAAAGCCTATAACTCAATTCATTTTACAGATACGGTCACACTACATCTGAGCGTGATATCTTCACATGTTGCATGTTTTTTTTCAAGGTTTGACCAAAACAACTTCAACTCTGTCAATTCTCAGCATTTTAGTAATCTTATTGAACTCAGACATATGAGTGACGTCCACGGCCTACCCCAGTTACCACTACTGTGCATGTGTGTCAAGGACAGAAAGGCAGATGTGGCAGTGGAAGGTGTCAAAGCAGTTTGGAGAGAAAAGAACAAAACAACAACAAAAAAAAGAAAACGATTAATCGATTATTAAATTAGTCATCGATTGTTTTAATAACCGATTAGCTGTCGATTAATCGTAGCAGCCCTAATATGAACTCCGTCAAGGATGCTGGGACTTTATTTATGTTTTTACACAGTAGCTACCAACTACTACAACCAACAGACTCACCACTGTGAAGGTTTCAGAATCAGATTCCGGTTCAGCACCCCCAAAACTAACTCTGTCCCACCTTGCCAAGCAGAGGTGACACACTTCAGTCACTATCGGCTTATAAATATTATAATTTGGTTATTTGTTACCTGTTCAGCTCTACAAGTTGGTAGCAGCAGAAGCCGTGTTTATACTTCACCTATTGTCCTCAAAACTTTAGTAAACAATGATGAAAACTGCATGTTTGGCTTTGTCTCTGATGTTGATTAAAGAATAAAACCTGCATTATAAAATCCTTAAATGATTTGGATCACTACATAAAGAAATTCAAAAAGGTGATCATTCATATACTAAAATATAAACAGCAATTTAAAAAAAGGGGATAAAATCCTCACATATTTAATCATTTATAGCTCATTTGTTCAATCTTGACAATGATTTGAGGGATCAAAAAAGGTGGAGGAGACCAACCAGTTATTAAACCAGGTCTAACTGGTTCAGACCCACAAAACAAACAAACAAAAAAAAAAAACACTTTCTCTTTAATGGGAACACTGGTTGAATTCAAGCACGGGAAAACATGCTGACAATCTTGGACAAGTCTAAACGACTTCTATGAGCATTTCTTGACATTAAGTTGTGTATTACAGAACTAGTGTTAATGACAGAGTAATAGACTAGATTTTTAAATCTACATCTAATGAGAAATATTAACTGTGATGCTGTGAATTACACTGAACGCAATGTTAATTCACACCACATCTCCTATGTGACAGTATTTTCTGTTTTTCGGGTAAAAGGAAGTAAAATAAGCGACTAAACAGTATCAAAAGTTTTCACTTTAATTGTTGTTCATAATCTCGGACCATAATTATAGTAATTAACTTTACGTGTCTTCTTGTTGTCCTCTAACTAGACGAGACTATTTATTTCATTGTCCGATTAAATACCTTATTCTAATGTAGTAAAATTAGATGGTACTGAACCAAAAAATGCGACCTTTATCAAGGCGACTTCCTTTAGAAACAACAACCAGTCTAGTGGGAGGAGGACGGGAAATAACGTTTGTCACATCCCGACTCCAACTAGCGCGCTGCGGCAGTAAAAACCCGTCTCAACCGGCTGGTTACAAACACGGTTAAACATTAAAAAATACTTACTTGTTTTGTTCAAGCTGGTGTCTCTCGCCTCCTCCACACACGTGTGACACATTTCTCAGGCGGTTCTCAGCGACTGGGGCCGGTCACACCAGAGCCAGAGCCTCGAAACAGCAGCGATGGTAGGAAAAACTGAAGAAAGCAAAAAGGATTGGCTTCAGGGTGACTTCTTCTGTGAGCTTTAACGGCGGTTGGCGAACAAACTTAATGGTGCAGTACCGCCACCTGCTGGTGTGGAAGAGTAAAGTGAAAAAAATATGTAGTCTGTGTGCAAAATCGGTGAAAGTCGGTCGAAAAATGTTTTTGCGCGTGGAAAAAATAAATAAGAATGTCAAGTGGTTGTTTAATTTATGTTTATACAAAAAAAAAGTACATATCTAAAATGGTCATGATAAAAGAGGGGGCTGTGCAGGTGCAGTGAATGTGGCAGGGGGCCGGGCATCTGGGACCAAAATGAGGGCCAAAAAATCCACAGGCTCGATTACCAGCAGTGCACACAGTGGTGTCCTTTAGTGCAGTGGTTCCCAAACTTTTTGTCTTCTGACCCACAAAATATCCATGGCAAAAACTTGTGACCCCAAATATTACTGGTCTGAGTACATGAACTTCGTTAATAACCCTAAAAACACAGGCTTTAGGAAGCACTGCTTTAGTGGTTCCCAAAGTTGGGGTCGGGACCCACAATGGGGTCTTGAAACATCAAGGTGGGGTCCTGAAAATATTTTTATTTAATTAATTACACTAAAAACTGACAACCACCAACATTTTTTGCCTTTGTTATTACACAATAATAAGATTAGTATACTTAAAATGGACAAAAATAGCCTAATAAGTATTGTTACTATGCTCTTGTTTATTTGACGTGAAAACATTGTTTATCATCTGGTAACAGCTGGGCATGGGTCTCTGCTGCTGGTATTTTGTGAGTCAAAAGCTGAAATGTTTGGGAACCACTGCACTGTCATCAATTTAGAAACTAGATTTGATGTGTTAATATCTTCCTGTTGGAACACGCAACTCTGTTTCAAATATATCCGTAAACCTATGGATTTCAGGTTAAAAATTTGATAAAACACAATGAAACTTATTGCACTCGTTCCACAGCATGATGCTGCCCCCACCATGCTTTATAGTTGGTAACATGTTAAGTTTAAAGGCCTCATCGTGGCTCCTCCAATTTTACTTCCTGTTGTGGCCAAACAACTTAGTTGTCATCTTATAAATATGATAAAAGATAAAGGAGTCTGGTTCTGTTCAGGGGATGACTGTGGATAGAGATGATGGTGCAAAGAAAGGTTTACAGAAAATCAAGAACATTGTGGACAACCCTGACCATCCTCATCATCAGACTGTCAAATAAAAACAGAGTGTCTTCAGTCTAGGCTTCTTCTATTTCATTGTAATACAGACCGCTACAGACGTTCTTTCCTGCCCACAGCCATCAGCATCTACAATAACTCTTTAATTACAACAATGCCTAATTACCCTCTGGGATCAATAAAATATTTTTGAATTAAATTTGAATTGAATTGAATTATATGACCTTGGGACTTGCGAACTGTCCAGGATGTACCCCGCCCCTCGCACTGTGACTGCTGGGTATGGGCACCAGTGACCCACGCAACCCTGAAAAGGAAGAAGCATGTACAGAAGATGGATGGATGGATATATGACCTTGAAACTTTTTAAGCTGCATCCATATGTGGGCAGCTGAAATTTCAGTTGAGCTTGAATGTGCGGCTTTAGGAACTGCTTCTTTCATGATCAGCTAGTCCAACACTTGCCAGTGTGGGCAGTAACTCTGACGTTGCAGCAGTTTCATGGCAGGCTTGAGCCTTGGTGGTTCCTGGAATGTTCCTAAACATCCTGCAACTGTGTTACAGTTGAGACATGGTGGATTTAATGTGTTGTCAAACAAATCCTGTTTATGTTGAATAAGAAAAAGTACTTGTTGCAGTTAATCATAATCACTAATGAAAACATACTTTTTAAATTCAGACTAGGTTTCTGATCTTATGACATTGCCATATTTCAATAGTTTTTCATGTAAATGCTTTATTGTTTATATTACATATTTGTCTTTTAAACCGGCAAATATTTTTGGACACAACTCTGTCTTGCTGTCAGCAAAATATCTTCTACACCACTGGATGGATTTTGTTGAAACATCCAAAAATGTATCATTAGATGGACAACTATACAACTCATTACCTATTGCCAAATTATTTTAACAACATGGCTGCCACAGCTAATTGAGCTCAATTACAGTGCTAGAAACTTTTAGATAGATACTGAACTAAAATTTGTTGTAGAAGCCAAGAGACACCCTCACCTCCCCTCTAAGCATTAACATATTTAGCAAATGTGCATTAGATTGTAAAAAAAAAAAAACAGCATTTACAATGTTTGACCAAAAGTCAATAACTTCATCATTTCTCAGTAAAGATTATTTTGGTTTCAAACTTTGGCATGAAGGAGCTCGCTTTAATTGAACATGCAAAAACAAAGTTGAATCAGGTCTTTTGGGTGAGTTCTTATTTGTTGAAACATTTTGTCTCTTCTCTAAGAGACTTCTTCAGTCTGAGGAGTTACAGGTAAATAAGCAGTACTTCCACATAGTGGTTAAATAAGATTATGACAATCAAAACAAATTGCATGCAGAAGAGGACCATCAGCCAATCGTTGGAGACCTGATGGCTGCTTATTGTTCACAGAGGGCTGAATATACTTGAAATAACATCATTGTAAGAGGGGGACAATTGGACACGGAGGTCTCCACTAGTTTAACAATGAACTTCTTTTACTCCTCCCTCAAACCAACGTTTCTCTCTATCAAGGATGAGAACATCTTCATCCCGAAAAGGTGGCCTGTAGATGATTGTAAACTGAAAAGTCCTGACCTGAAGATGTTGCTCTTCTTTGCTGGATCATCTTTATGGCCTGTGGCTGCTTTGTTTCGCCGATGTATAACTGGTCATAGTCCTCCTGGCACGAATCAGCGTACACAGTGTGAAGTACCACAAAGTGATACTTGAGTAAAAGTACAAGGAGCTTACCAAAAAACTACTTTGGTAAAAGTTAAAGTCTCCTTTAGGAATATTACTAGAGTAAAAGTACAAGTATTTTACCAAAAATACTTTGGTAAAAGTTAAAGTCTCCTTTAGGAATATTACTTGAATAAAAGTTTTAAAGTATCTGATATTTTTGTACTTAAGTATTAAAAGTAAAAGTATTGATTTAAAGGTAAGTAGATTTTCTGCAATGACATTTATTAGGAGGTGACCTCCCTAAAAATGTAGAACTGACTGTTGTATTAAAATAATTAATTCATGTTAAATTAAGTGTCCTGATGCATCTCAGTAATCCAGGTAAAAAAAATCAAAAAGAAAAAAATTGTATAGGTCTAAAAAAAACCCACATAAAACACATTACGGCAAAGGCTGGTTCACCCCAAAGATCCGGTGCCCCAGCACAAACAGAGCAATGTTGTATATGCTGTTAAGTGCCAGGAGGACTGCGACCAGTTATACACCGGGGAAACAAAGCAGCCACTGTTCAAAAGAATGTCCCAACACAGTCGAGCTACATCTAATGGCCAGAACTCTGCAGTTTTCACTCATTTACAGGCCAGCGGTCACTCTTTCAGAGATGAGGATGTTCTCATTCTTGATAGAGAGGAACGTTGGTTTGAGAGAGGAGTAAAAGAAGCCATTTTTGTGAAGAAAGACCGTCCATCGTTAAACAGAGGTGGAGGCCACCGTTTTCAGTTGTCCCCCTCCTACAGTGCGGCTATTGCCAGTATCACTCCACCCCGTTAACAATAGGTGTTAATTAGGTGTCAACGATAGCCATGTGATGTGAGTATCAGTCACATGGAGGCWGKGCTTAAAAGCCTGAATTTWGCCTGAAACTCTCAGACTGAAGAAGTCTCTTGGAGGAGAGACGAAACGTTTCATTAGAGAAGAACCCGTCCAGAAGACCTATACAATTGATTTCTTTATGTTAAATTAAGGATGCACTAGTCTAGCTGTTTCAGTTTATATACAGATTTCCAGACTGCCCAACCATTTTCCCCAAAATGAAAATGTGTCTGAGGGCTGCGGCCAAATGAAATAATTTAATTCACGAAATACAAATCCTCTTATTTTAATAATTATGTCCTGCTGGAGTGTGACATGAGTTGTTTGTGTACAAACTAATACAGTAGCAGAATTTTATATATTTATACTTCTCATTCAACCACAATTAAATTCACTCTATCTAGGAGGCACAGTTTATATGGATATATATATATATTTTTTACAATAACAAGCTGTAATGAAAACAAGCAAAAAAGAAACAAAAGTAACGACTTTCTACTTCTTGCCTTTGTTAAAAATGTAAGAAGTAGAAGTAAAAAGTAGGCTGAAAAACAATTACTCAAGTAAAGTACAGATATCCAAAAATTCTACTTAAGTGCAGTAACAAAGTATTTGTATTTAGTTATTTTACAACTCTGAGCGTACACGTTACTCTGTGCCAGAGGGTCGGGTCAGTGGGGTGAAGCAGTCTTTGCCATTTTGTGTTTTAGGGTTTTAAAGCTACTGAGACATCATGTTTAGAAAATAAACATCTCCACTAACATAGGGAATGACCACTGGTCTGAGGTCCTGTTTTACACCCAATGGCTGGCTTGTCTCCTAACATTTCAACAAAGAAGAACCTGTCAAGGGGACCTGAATCAATTTTTATGTTTTAGATTTCTCTACCTGGATTATTGAGATGCATCAGGACATATCTTTTAGACCTTCTCATTTAGCATTCTAGGAGTGGGATGTGTCCAGGTATCAGGTGTAATAAGTGGAAAAGGAACCCGTTGTTTCCTCTGTGGGTCAGTAATAAAGGTTTGCCATCTACACTCAAAAACATTAAGTCCTCGCCTTCAATCAAAAAAATTACCACAGAGGAGACTCAAAGCTAGGAGCACAGAGATGATCCTTGATGCTCCAGCTAATGTACCCCCAAGTTCCCACTGTGTACGTTCTGCTTGGTGCACTGATAAAACCAAAAGTGACTAAAAAAAGAAAATGTATTTATTATAAATTTAAACATATGTACCTCACAAAGAGAATGTACAATAACAAACAGCATTATATTATTTCCCAGAGTCATTCTTTTGCTTTGTCTGGATTACTGGCTAATTTTTCCAAGTGGTCCCTTTGCTGTGTCTCATCTCTGCTGCATTCATCCGCCATTATCTCCAAAGCATCGCTTCCTTCAACCTTCTTCACCTTCTCTCCTTTGGCAGCAAGGATTTCCTCAATGTTTCTGAAACACAAAGCACCACAAAACATGAAGAGTAAACAGAGGATTCGTATGCGTTGCTAATCCTAAAGTTCAGCTCTTTCTACTCGTATTGAACAGTGAATTGAAAGTAGTTCAGTCAGACTGACATTATAATTCAGTTATATAAGAAAGCCACACCAACCTTTTCCCCTCTAGGTCTGAAAACCAGTTGAGGTTGTCAGCGATGACATGATGATTCTTGCATCCCGTGCATGTCACTATCACTACACCCTTGTGGTAAGCCAGTTTAGAAATTTTCTGCGTGGACCTGGTGGAGCAAACCTGCAAACATGATACGAGTGGTTAGATAAGAACACTGAAACTGACAGTTCCAGCTTCAGACACAGCAGCTCAGTAAAGGCATATTCTTCTAAACTGTCTGGATTTTGTCTGATCAGCTACAGAAAAAAAACAACAACCTTACTTCAACTTTTCAAACCTGGATTGAATCGCACTGCTTTAAAAGCAGAATTACTTTAATGCTGTGTGATTTATGCCATTATTCTACACTCACCGGCCACTTTATTAGGTACACCTGTCCAACTGC